TAACTAAATTCAATGCACACATTCTCTTTTATTTCTCGTTTCTTTCAATTCAAAACTTGTGTACAAAAATGACCCGAATTAACAACAAATGTGAAAAAAATCGAAACAAACTAAAAATCTATTAACTGAATCGATAAATGCCTTAACACTCATCGCTCGATCRCTTCCATCGACATCATCCTGTGGCAATTAACCAAATAACCAAATSGAAACTGCATCRAAACGAATGCATTTTTGTACTGCATGGACGGCTCTTCTCTCTCTCTCMCGCTCGCTCGCTGTGTCTCTCTCACTGACTGACTGCCTGTGGTTGTTGGTGGCTTTTGTGTGACCTCTGTGTCTCAATGCATGCTTGATGACTGATGTTTGATGAACGCAACGATCTGCTCGATTATCGGTTAGACACAGATTCGGGACTGGGACGGGCCACTCCGCCGCGACGCGCTCCGTCACCAGGAATGGCGGCATCAGGTAGGCATATGCCATCTCCCTCTGGACCAGGCTCTTTGCCGCCAGGTTTGATATCGAAGCGTCGCGGATTTGATGATGGATCAAGCGATACGTCTTTAACTGCGAATGCTAACATGGAATACTCGGGTTTGTACTTAGTCTCAAAAAATTCTCAAGTTATACATCCACAACAACAATCARTCAATCAATCAATCAAACATCATATCGTACATATACACCATATTCATATATTGGTTCTTCATGCATATACATCATTTGTACATCACTTTGGAACGCCTCATAGAATATTCACTTGTTTCGTTCATTTCATTTACATTTGTTCAGTTCTCGATTTGTTCCAACCATCTACCAATTGGTTTTTATTCGTCTTTTATGTGCATTCGTTTCCAGTTCCATATAATTATGATTTTGCGACATTAAACATACATATCGAGTCTATCCGCATATATCCATATGTATATGCCCTATACAGACGTACTTCCATGTACTACGTAGGGACGTCGCGTGTTTTTCTAGATGTAATTCCAATTCCATTCGATCTTCCGTTACGTCGTCAAATCCACGATTTCGATAGTCAAACCGAGCTGTGTCTTCTATAATATTACTATTAGTATTATATGAAAATGAAATTCTAAATAACCCCAATTCGGCTCAATTAACCGCTGTACACTTGCAAAGAAAAAAAAAAACAAACGAAAACTAAATTTTATTAATATTAAATGCAAGCGATTTTAATAGTTTTAAGTTTTTATATAATTTTGTTTTTGTTTTTTTTTTTTTTTGTGATATATATTTGTATCTATTTTAATTTTGGAATGTTTTAGAATAGCTAGTTCAAAATGTAAGTACACCATAATTATAAATTAGAAAGTTCATTCACAAGCTGCGGCTTATTAGCTAAATTTCATGTCAATTA